CCTATATCACACAGCCATCCTCTACCCCCCCCCCCCCCCCCCCACCCCCAATTTTATTTATTATTTGGCACTTTTTACAATTATTTTACTCTTGCGTGAAACAAATGACTGTTCTTGATAATAAATCGTTATCAATTAATTATTATCAGTTTGTCCATGTGGTCTTTATTGGATAATAGATGTACGTATGACGTCTTCTCACACTCACTCACTCACTCTGTGAACTGAGCACTAACCCACTCAACTCATATAATTGACTGTCGCAGTCAGAATGTGAATATCTTTGATTTATGAGATCAAGATTTACAGTTTTTGTAAACTAGCCAGATTAGGTAAAATATCTTTACATAGAAAGATGAACATTAGAATGTGATAATAAGGATGATCATAAATCATCTTTAGTCTTAGAATGTTAACTGAGAAACTTCTTCCAGAAACTGTTCTCATGACTCCTCTCGCCTGGATCGACTCTCAGAAGAGAGACGCCACGTGAGGGTCAATCCTGACACTCACACCAGTCTATGAAGCAGGAGGTCCTAGTGAGCGCTGAGCCTACTGGGTTCATGACCCCATTGTTCTCCTGTTCTGTAGATTCCTGAGGAGCCGATGGGACAAAATCTAAATGTATTCTAATTAATATGTTCTGATTATCTAACGTTTATTAATGTGAAGAGTGCTTTGGCATGTTGACCTCTCTCCCACAGATTGATTCCTGCAGATATAAAACATCCATATGATATGTCATTAAGTTGTAAAAATATATAACTTGGATTCCCATAAATAAATGATCATGAGCTCTAGATCTAGAACAGATGGGCATGTTCTTTTACAGGATATCAATCATTCTGTAAGATCCTGCACAGGTATTTAATATATGCAGACTAATTCCGTGTTTTATTTAATCCTTTGTTTCATGAGCTATTAAAGCCCAGAGGTTTATACATTCAATAAAATCTATGTATCATAGAGGTGCCACACACACACACACACACACATCATACACACACGTATCATAGAGGTGCCACACACACACTTAAAGGTTATTTCCACAAATAAAAGACAAAGGGGCACAGAAGAGTAAAGCATGTGTGTTGACTCATTAAAGATAACTTGGATGATTAACAGTGGAATAATTATTTGAAGGCAATACAGGATGTTTTCACCACTACTCCACCACGAGGGATTTTATATATATATTTAGTATTCCGGCTGTCATGCTTTTAAATATTTCTGCTCACTTGTAAGATTAAATTGAAGTCCTCCTGAACAAAACCAAGTACAGCACTCCACGGTTTAATGCTTTTAGTTGTTTAGGGGGGGTGACTGTGGTTTAGTGGAGAGCAGGGCCGTCCTTCAATCAGAGGAATCGGAGGTTCAATCCCCGGCTCCGCTAGTTGCATGTCGATGTGTCCTTGAGCAAGGCACTTAACCCCAAAATGTCTCCCGTAGCTGTGCCTACGGTGTGATAGAATCTGAATTGTAAGTCGCTTTGGATAAAAGTGTCTGCTAAATGACTGTAATGTAATGTAATCCTGCTAAATGACTGTAATGTAATGTAATCCTGCTAAATGACTGTAATGTAATGTAATCCTGCTAAATGACTGTAATGTAATGTAATCCTGTTAAATGACTAATGTAATATAATCCTGTTAAATGACTGTAATGTAATCCTGCTAAATGACTGTAATGTAATGTAATCCTGCTAAATGACTAATGTAATGTAATCCTGTTAAATGACTAATGTAATGTAATCCTGTTAAATGACTGTAATGTAATGTAATCCTGCTAAATGACTGTAATGTAATGTAATCCTGCTAAATGACTGTAATGTAATATAATCCTGCTAAATGACTGTAATGTAATGTAATCCTGTTAAATGACTAATGTAATATAATCCTGCTAAATGACTGTAATGTAATGTAATCCTGTTAAATGACGAATGTAATGTAATCCTGTTAAATGACTGTAATGTAATCCTGTTAAATGACTAATGTAATGTAATCCTGTTAAATGACTGTAATGTAATGTAATCCTGTTAAATGACTGTAATGTAATGTAATCCTGCTAAATGACTGTAATGTAATGTAATCCTGTTAAATGACTGTAATGTAA